CCCCCCCGCCCCTCCTTGCCCTGATCATGTAGTTCTCTTAGCACTGAGTAGTGTGGGAGAGACTCGCTCCTCTTCTATCCCGTCCTCTGCCTTCGTGGAAAATCCAGCTACATGGCAAAATGGTTGGTGTTCCGGTTGGGTCAGGGCTTAGTGTGGGGGAGATGGGTCTCACCTGTACCAGGTTCTGGGTCCAGCCAGGACAACTCTAGAGATTTGTGGAGCTCAGCTGGACAGGGATGACTAGCCTTTGGGCAGGGATGGGGCAAAACTGACAGGCCTCACAGTTAACATCAAGGATAAGGACTCCCTCCCTCTCTCTAAGGGCCCACTCTACCTGAGATAAGGCTCTTTCCTCGTCTCACTTTCCCAGCCTCCTATGACTTCTCCACCCTTCCCACTCCACCTTGGCAAAAAGGGGCACCCCCAAAGGTTGCTCTATTTAGAGACTAGCTTCTCAGCTCCTCATGTGACAGGGACCCATCACAAGCCATGAGCCAAATGATTACTCTGCATGGTACAATGTGGGTGACCTGCCCAGAATAGAGTTAAAGGCTTACCTCCCACATTCTAGGTCTTATACTTCTGTTAATGTAACCTGAGTCCCTAAGAACTTTTTTTGTGACTACCTCTTTCAGGTTGTCTTTGCGCCTTTCCTGTAGGTTTGAGTCTGTCTTTTTCCTACTGGCTGCTGTTCAGGCTGAAACCCACCCCAGTGTATAGGGACACCCTACCCAGGTAAGATGCTGTGCTGGCCCGGAGTGTAAATGTTGGGCTCTGACTCCCTTAGCCCTTCTTAGATTCAGAATCAGGGGTTCTATATCATGATTCTGTGGACTCTTGAGAGTACATCAGTGGTTGGGGGTGGGACTGTGGACACCGTGGGCCCAAGGTCCCTTAGTCCCCATTCTTTTCATATCTTGCCCAACAACCCCTCCAGCAGCTGCCCTGGAGACCCCAAAAACCCAGGACACCACAGCACATGGAGACAACACTATGGCCGAACCCCATGAAGTCTTCCTTCACCCAGCTGCCTGCCTGCGGATTTCTAAGGACACAGGACCTACGGGACACAGGGTGGCTGACTCACCCCCTAATCTGTGGCAGAGAGTGGGGAATGGAGACCCTAAGGAACCCAGGGACAGGCCCAGGGTCCCACCTCTGGACCCCAGTTGGACTGCCTGGCCCCCTTGGTGTGGACATCTGACCTACAGCTCAGTGCCCAGGCCACCCGCCTGGTGGGTGAGGTTCCTGATCCTGTTGCCTTGTGCTATTTTCAGCTCCAGCAAGATCAGGATTTTCCACTCCCAGCCCCAGACCATTGTCCAACAGTGACATGGGGGGACATGCCTGCTCTCAAAATATCTCCTCTTACTCCTGGGCCTCCCTGCCCCTCCCCACCTTCCCACCTCCTCACCCTGACATCACTTCCTGAGGCTGTTGACTCCTGAAGGCCACTGTGAAAGGGCACAGCCCCCTGAAAGGGAGGGACCCCAGGGATTATCCAGCCCAGCTGCAGACTCAAGGCCAGAGAGGGGCGGGGCCTTACCCAAGATCACTCACGAAGTCAGATGGCCTCTGGACATATGCCGAGGGCTCAGGCTGGCCCTGCTGCCCTGCTTCCTTTACTGCAGGTTGGTGCCTTAGTGGGAACCCTGCTGTCACCTCTGCCCCGAGTGGACAGAGCTGCAGCCAAGGCCAGAAACAGGGGGCAGGGGGTTGGGGTAAGAGTGGGGTGGGGGAAGTAAATGCCTGCTGACTTGCCTGCAGCAGCTGTTCTCAAGGAGCTCCCTGCAACCGGGCAGGGACCCTGCACAGAGGGGTCTCTGCCCTGGGTAGCAGGTATCCCAGGGCCCAGGAGGGAGGGGGAGTCCCAGAAGACATTCCCACTCTCACCCTCCAAGGCTAGGAGAGGCCCTGCACAACATACTTCCCAGACACAATTTGCTCCGGTCTAGGCCCCTTGTCATGGCAGATTTGAGCTGATCTGTTCCGAATCAGGTGCACGAGGAAGGGAACTCATGTACAAATCCATGCCCCAAGCACCGTGCCAGACCCTATCACATCCATTATGTCACTATTTCTTCACTACAACCGTGTGAAATAGACATTCTTATCCCCGTTCAGCAGATGAGGAGACAGGCTCCAGGAAGTGACAGCTTGCTCCAAATTATACAGGCAGTTAAGTGACTCGAGACTGAGCCCAGGTCCATCTGAGGCCCAGATTAGTCCCTTTCCAGTATCCCTGGCCACTTGAAACCCCTATGGGGAAGGAGGGCCATTGGCGAGAATGGGGTTAAGAGCACAGATTCTACGCCCAGACCATCTGGGTTTGAGTACGGTCTCCAATTCTTCCAGCCCTGGAGCCTTGGGCAAATTACTTAACCTGGCAGTGCCTTGGTTTTCTCTTTTCTAAAAGGAAGCACGCCCCCCCCCATGCAGGTCACTGGGAGGCTTACCTGAGTTAATACACATGGAGCACTTCGAATCGGGCCTGGCACGTGGCAAACGTTCTCACGCAGGCACTGTGCAAGAGGCTATGAAGGCGAACCAGCCAGACCCTACCTTCATGGAGTTGACATAATTTAATATGTAACCACATGAGTATAAGTTATTTGAAGAAAAGTACAGCGTGTCCGGCCAGTGAGCACCACGGGTCTCCTGTGGCCAAGGCTTCCCCGGGGTGTAGGAGGAGGGGAGCAGGTCCTTTCTGGAGTAAGGGATGGGACCACCCTCTACCAACCTGGCACCGTGTAGCCTTCAGGCACATGGGCCCGTGTGTTTACAGAACCTGGTCCAAGTGTCTGGCCTTCGGAGGGCAACAGGGAGAATGCACCATGGGAGGAGGAGGAGGAGGAGGAGGATGCCCTTGATGTCAAGCTTCTGCTGCCAGTCCCTTTGGGCTAGAGAGCTCCCACCCACCCGTGGAAGCAGATTAAGCCATTTCTTTCTGACTAATGGTGCCTGCCATAGGGTGCTGCAGCCGCTCCGTGGTTCAACCAAGATTCCCGTGTGGGAGTGCTGGATTGGATCTGGGCCTAAGCAGGCAATGAATAGGCAGCTTTTGCTGTGTGATCTGAGGCCACCTGCCTTCCCTCTCTGGGCCACTCTGGAGAACTTGCCTCCGACGTTCCAGTTCTCCCTATCTCAATTAGGGCATCAGCGATCTAGATTTTCATCACAGGCACAGCTAACAGCTGCTGCTCCAGGCATACCCAAAGCCCGCTGAGCGCTTAGTTTTGAGAACCTGAGTGGGGGTAGTGAGTCGCTCTGGCATCAAGTGACCAGAGAGGTAAAGTGACTCCATTGGCACCACACTGTGCGTTGAACGGAGCCAGTCCAATCTGATGCTCCTGTTTCCTGCGGGCTGGTGGGTAGAGCTTGGCCAGAAGTGGCTGCAGGGTGAGGAATTTTCTTGCCTTCCCAAGGGGAATGTGCTAGTGGTGGGATGGGTGATGGGGGGAAATGAGCCCCAGAAGTCAAACTCTCATCCTCCTCAGCCCTGGTACACCATGTGACTTGCTGAATCCCTTCTCTCTGGGCTTTGGTGTCTGCACCTTCAGGAGGGCTTGGCTCAGTCCAGCGATTCTTCCGTTAGCAGGGGCTTCCTGGGCTTGCCCCTGCCCTAGCTCCAGCTTAGCCAGGTCTTCTGTCCCAGCCCTGTCCCAGCCCGAAACAATGGGCCAGCCTGGGCAAGTCACTCATCTGCCCCAAACCCAGTCCCCAGGGGCTCCACCCTGGACTATTTTCAGCCCTTGGAGATGGAGTCAGAAAAGGATTTTCCACTCCCAGCACAATGGCTGTCCTGGACCATTGTCCAGCAGTGATCGGGGGATATTGCCTGCCTCAAAATATCTCCCCTGCCCCTACCTCCTGGGCCTCCCTGCCTGCTCGTCCCCTCCCCACCGTGACGTGGCTTCCTGGGGCTGTGAACTCCTGAGGCCCACAGTGAAACAGCACGTGAGTTCCCTGGGAGAC